TCACTTGTTTCTTGGCTACCCCTGGCATCACTCCATCGGGCTATCCCCTTCACAGTGCCTTGAGGCAGCAGCGGCGAGAGAAAAAGTCACTAAATACAACCACTCCAAAAACGACCTTGCTGAATTCTTCAGCTCATAGCTTCACCCATTCTAGGAGGAAAGCATCCAAAGGTTCCCTGGCGAATGGATGCATATCGGTGATTATGATAATGGTTATATTTTTGGTCAATTGGTTTTAGAGGAAGATAAAACTCGATGAGAAGAAAGGATCGAAATTTGGATAGGAACATAGAATTTATGAACGTCGACAGGAGCACACGCACTCCCAAAGAGACCGGTACCCTCTAGAACACGGAATTGTACAGGAAGAATGAAAACCAATTGAAAACCGTAAGAGCATGGCCCCATTCACGATCACCCATATAATCCGTAGGCTTACGCGTACAGTTCCATCGCTGATTACGATCAACTGCCTTTACTGCCGTAAGTGATACCGGAAAAGGTGAGAAGTACTATCCCACGAACCCGGGGATGCTTCCTGTACAACGTTGGCTAGAAATTGGGAAACACCAGCTGCTCCCAACTCAGTCCCACCTAAAGCTCCTAGGCTTGCTGAAACTTCAATAACAACCGGAAGAATCTTTAGAAGTCGGTAAGAGAGGATTACATTTTCATTGGTAAGAACAGATTTCATTGCATCACCTTGTCTCACCCAAAGTCCGGCTCGCTAGAACGAGGCGCGACTTTCCACTTCTCGCAGCGCGAAGCTTTTTTTACTGCGGGAACCCCAGCCCCCCCCCCCCCATAAGTCGACCTGAGGTTGTTGCAGTGAAAACAGCTTCTCGCTTCTCCTAGCGACTCACATCCTCCCACCCGCAACTTTCAATTAGATGTGCCGATGGCACTAATACACTCACCTCGTGATCATCCACTGGATATGGAGGAACTGGTGGATATGGTGATGAGGGCATTGGTAAAGGAGTCTGAGGCATCCCTGACGGTGAATACGGCGGATAATTCTGATACATGGCTGAAATCACTGGTATGATATTTTGTCGGAGGAACGTAACAACGTGAGTCATGGGTGACATAAAGACGGACTGATGGCAATTAGTGGCTAGGTGAGATCTGCTTTTGTGTGTAGTGAATGAACTCTTGGGAACAATCGGACGCAGGACGAAAAGGCAGGACTTCTTCGGAGGATGTAGTGCTTTGTTAGGGAAAGCGAGGGCAAGTTTATTAGCAACAAGGGTTGAGAAATTGTGTTCACAGAGGGAAACGACAAAGAGGACGAGGAATTGTTTGTTATGAAAGTTAGCTCACGGGTTGTTTGGGGAGGATAAGAATGTTTCATTATTTCCTCCGGCATCCTCCGCTGGACAGGTTGATAAACTAAATTTGCCGGTAAATGGAAGAGCTCTGCTGGAACCTGAAATTTTGTTGAACTGATAACTTACTGCGATAATCGTCGAGCGGCTTTCTGGTGTATCCGTTTCGGTTGACCTTGTACCTCACTTGAGGCTTCTTACCCTCGTACTCGTCCGTCGTGGCCGCTAATCGTTGCATAAACATGTATACCACAACTACGCAATACACCTGAACTGACAGTTGGTGGAATTGTGACTTGGGAATTGGACCATATGGGATGGATCACCCACGTTGATGAACACTCCGATAATTTCGAGAATAGTGAAGAGCCATCCAGTAGTCCCGTACATCCCCTGCCCACCACATAATACAGTAAGCCAACGAAGTGAGGATCGACGAGACGATGCAAATGAACCATGGCCAGATCAAATGCCGTGACCACTGGAGTAATGAAGGATTAGGAAATGAGAAGACTTGAACTAAGAAAAGCAGCTTTTAATAGAAACGCTGCGCAGGTCACCCTCCATATGGAATAACAGCAATTCGGTAGAGACCGTAGCAAGCGCTCCCGAGACGCTGAGGATCTGTGGGATTAGCCTCCCTCAGACTGCACAATTTTCCACAATTCGATCTATGTAGTATATCTTATGAAAACTCTGAGGGGGTGAAAACGACGCACGTCATTAATCTACTCCCTAAAATCAATACGGACTGTGCACCCATTCAAAAAGGTCCACGGTTTCACGGGAAAGTTGTATGTGTGGCGCATCCCGGCAGGGTTTTTCATTCTATGTGCTTAACCCTTTGACGACAATGGCACCCACCGGTGGGTGCCACTATGTTCGCCGCGTGGGACAATGGCACCCAATGGTGGGTGCCACCTTAAAATTTCCTTCTTTGTGCATTTAAAACATTTGTAACACCCCAATAATTATAAGCAAGTTCCATAATATCTATGGCTAGCACGACTTACAGAAATGTTTATTAAGAGCTTTATATAGAATTTTAGAATGTGCCATTTAGCTCGCCATATTAATTGGGGTTTTGCATTATTAGGCTGAAGATTAATTACTAATCAGGACTTCTTCGTCTTCTCATAGCCCTCAGATATGGGAAGGGGTTTGAAGTGTACGAAAATTCTCTTGGACACTTAAACTTTTAGAGGTTTTGCCCTCCTTCCCCTTAAACCGAGTTCCCCTTCCAAATTTGGAATTCTCTTAAAAAAAAAACAGTATGAAAGCCTAGAACTGCAGTTATACATGGCATACCGTTAGAGTCAAAAATTCTATGGAAAAATTGCTTTGAGGGACAATTTTGCTCTGTTGTGAGCGAGAGTTGGGCGCGGCCAAAAAAGGCGTAGTCCAACGCAGCAAGCACGTGCCAATTCGCATTAGTTCAGTTCCAATAGGGCTCAATGCAGTGAGCCAACGTTAAGGCGGTTTCAAGTTATGGGAGAACGCTATCAAGACAAGATGAAGCTTAATGGTTACCACTGAATAGATAGGCAAACCAATTATTCGCTAAAGCCTAGTCAAACCATATCTATTAAAATGGGAGGGATTACCGTATGGACTCCGTAGATGAGTGCCACAGATGCGAACAATAGGAAAAACGCCGCAATGAGACATAGAAATCTGGATGACGAAGAGACCTGAAACAAACTGAACACTGCTGCTGCGCCATTGAAAGATTTCAAGGATTGTCTCCCATCCTTGGTTTCGGGGCTAACCATCCTTCGAACCTGGCCCGCAATATTTGTCCGCTGGTGTTATGTAAGACGGCGCCCCAAGCAAATACCCACACCAGCGATGACTCAACGACGACACATGAATCAGCCCCACCCTCGCAATGATTTCTGAGCCTTTGATGCCATGAATCAATACCGAAATTTGATT